AACCACTCTGAAATGGAGGAGGCTGGGTGAGAACATTTGTTTTAACTTTATACACAACTGTCCAAATGTTTTCTCTGTGATGGTTTGAACCAATTTATACATTTTCAACACAATAGAAATCCAGGTTCTGGGAATGGTGACATCATCGTAGCAGTGCTATTCAAAATTAAAGGTCACACAAAGAAAGAGGAGGAAGCTAGACTAATATTAGGTTTGACAGATGTTTGAAAAGAGGCCTCGATTTGAACAGTCATCTCTCTTGCCTACTGGTTGAGTAGCTATATGGATGAAGCTTGTTCTTGAATACCGACTGTAGCACATTAAAAGTTAATTTTATGTTGACTACTATTAAAGAGTTTTTGTGCAGTTTTGGTTTTTCACAAGAGTTTGGTTCATTCAGCACCTTATAAACCCCACATTGTGATGGCTTGTCAAGATAAATTATATAAACTTTGTCTGTGTGTCAGCTGTGATAATCCAATCCAACTTTATTTATATAGCACTTTAAAACCTTCAGACCAAAGTGCTGTACAGAGAGATAAGCTCACAAAACATAAAATAAATACATTTAAAATAAAAGATACAAACACAAAACAAACCAGAATAAACGTAATAATAAAAAAACAAAAAAAAAACAGCCTTATAGTACAAACAATAGACCACTGAAAGCAAATAAAAGCAACAATCTACTTGTTTACGAATGCTAAGGAGAAGTGGTGGGTTTTAAGACGGGATTTAAAAACAGACAGTGTGGGAGCCTGTCTGATTAACAAGAGAAGGTCGTTCCACAGTTTAGGGGCGGCAGCAGAGAAAGCACCGTCCCCTCTGCGCTTAGACTTTGTTTTTGGCACCCTCAGGATAAAAGCCATTCTTTGTTTTTATTTGCAGCAGCCCTCTTCCATCCTCTGAATCAGTGGCACACGGAGAGGAGGGTGAGGACGATGGCACCCTGCCGTGCACAGAGGACGTCATCTGTAAGACGGAGCAGATCACCAAGAACATTCAGGAGCTGCTGAGAGCCGCCCAGGAGACCAAGCATGAAAGGTAGTTTATGACTAATAGAAAACTATTCAAAAACAAACCACCTTATTCATTTACGTGCTGTAATAAAAGCATAGACTTTATGTTTTTTTCATGGCTGTATTTCTGTCATTCTGCCTGTCAATAGTAAATAGTATTTCATTCTCTTTAAGCTGCTTCTAGGTCAGCTGTTCTCAATAGTTCACCCCAGGGCCCAGAACTATGATGGGTTTGGATTATAATAGCCAGCTAACCAGTGACTTATTAACATCTGATTTAATGGCAATTTTTATAGTTATAGTAAACCAGCAGCTCTCAGTCATTTGAGCCTTTTTATAGCGTAGCCTCTGTCTTGAAAACTGTGTCTGCCGGGGGTAAACCGTGGCTCTTGAAATGCAGCTGACAGGAAACACCACATGACCATCTATTCCCTTGCGACCGGCCAAATCCACAGCAAGTTAGTGTAGTCAAACTGGTTTTCTTTATTCATCCGTGTCTGTTTACAGTAACAATTTACTGTTAATATTTTCCTGGTTTTTATCATGATGTTTTGAGATATTGGATGTTGTCCATTTTACCCGATCCTAGTTTTTCTTCACTTTCAATTTTTTTTAATCTAAACTATTTAAGAGATATTCTCAAGGGTTAAAATTCAAAGAAAGTGGTTCCTGGAAAAAACATCATTTCAATTTGATCTCTATTAGTGGCCCTAATGTGCACACATACTGTTGTTTCATTTATTACTATAGTAAGTGCTTTCCCAAGGAGTCAGGGGCCTAATGTCGGCTTTCAGTGTGATTCGAGGCTCCTTCTGTTAGAGCTTTGGTCTCTCCGGGCAAATGAAACTGCTTTCACTTTGAGTACAAGTCATGATGTTGATGACAGCTGTTTACTTTGAAGCCTTTGCTAGCCCAGTGTTGTATTTGCTCTTTTTTTTTTTTGTTGCTTTGGTGACACATACCATCCAAGCTATATGTCAGCTCATAATCAAATACAGTAGATGGGCAGTGTGTCATAAATTCTGAATGTTTACAGAGCTGTGCAAAAAGCAGTCATTGTTGTTATAAGTTTGTGCAAACATCTCAAATTTGATCTAAATTGTGCAGTCTGCTGTATTTCTAAAGAGTGCTTACTGTTGGCACAGGGAATCTTGCCTCAGGCTGCTCTTTCTCGTAATGTTAGCTGTTGAGCATTGTTGTATCTATAAATGGCACAGGAGTGGTTGATCAGCCTTTTGTCTTTATCTCCCTCAGCTTCCTGCCTTGTTCAGAAAAGATCTGCGTGGCTGTGAAAGAGATGGCCGCCCTGTTTCCCAAGGTAAGATGACTCCGACCCACAGCTTCAAATCCATCCCCCGAGCAATTAAGGGATTTATTTTTTGTTTGAAAACAGCCAAAGGGAACCTTTTAATGACTTGTCTAGACAAGGTAGGACCTGTTCATTGCATGACTTAGTTATATATGTACAGTTAATCAGATTACTTTGCTTTATGTTTACTGACACACACAGCCTGCTGACTACAATGAGGGTTTATTTATGGTGGTTGTCATCTTATCAAGTCTCCATCATCGCTCCTTCCCCCTCACAGAGGCCGTCCTCGGACACGGTTCGAGGCTCTCTGTATCTCCTCACGTCCAGCGCCAGCCGACTGCACGGAGAGTGCCAGAAGGCCGCAGAGCACAACCCCTGCCCGTCGGACATCCAGCTGGTCACTCAGCAGGTCATCCAGTGCGCCTATGACATTGCCAAAGCTGCCAAGCAACTTGTCACCGTGACAACCAAAGAAAACAATAACTAACTAAAAATCCAAAGACATTCCTGATGCACCCAAAATAGTTGATTTAGATACCGCTAATTTTTGTTTAATCAGTGTTAACACAATTTTTTCTAATTAGTCGGCAATTATTTACGTACATTCCTTAAAAAAAAACAAGATGCCCCATGTAACAGACCAATCTAAAGATTATTTTGATGTTTTTGTATCATGGTAATACAGAGTAAACAAACAAATCTGTTACTCCTCCTAACCTCACAAAGAGATAACAGTTTACTCCACACAAAATCCAAAAGTGCAATGTTGTGTGTATATAAACAAAGAACAACAAGCCTTCTACATTGTACTTTCCACATAGAGGTCATCATATAGATACACCTTTTATCTACACCATTGTCATCTGTTTATTTTCCTTTTTTTATTTGAAATGTTTTTAAGATGCAATGACAGTATTTTAGTCTTGAACCATTGTGATGCCACTTGCTTAGAGTTCAAATGTTTGTTTGGTGATTATGAAAGTAGCTTCAGTGCATAGAGCACCATGTAAGGCCAGCAGTACAAATGGTGTGCAAACCTTCATTCCATCCAGCAGCTCCAGCAGGGGATTCAGCAAAGTGACAGTAGTTCTTGGAGTTATAATGTTACAGCCATACTTCTGATGTTGTGTGTGTGTGTGTGTGTGAGAGAGAGAGAGAGAGAGTGTGTGTGTGTGTGTGTGGCGCAGTTGTGTGTATGTTCGACAGGTGTGTGTGTTAGNTCCATCCAGCAGCTCCAGCAGGGGATTCAGCAAAGTGACAGTAGTTCTTGGAGTTATAATGTTACAGCCATACTTCTGATGTTGTGTGTGTGTGTGTGTGTGTGTGAGAGAGAGAGAGAGAGAAGAGAGAGTGAGTGAGTGTGTGTGTGTGTGTGTGTGTGTGTGGGCGCAGTTGTCACAGAGATGGCCTCGATGGCCCCTGTGAAACCCATTTTGAATCAATTTTAATAGCATTATGCAAATATATAAGATGTATGTATCTATGTAATTCTTTATCAAAATAACCCAAATGCTATTCTATTTATGAACTGTGTGTCATACCTCTAAGAAAATATTAATGTTTATTTTCATAAGATTTGTTTAACATGATGCTCCTCGCAGACTAACTTTTGTTCTGAGGTTTGGGACGTCTCAGCTGGCAGTGAGTTATGGGCAACCTGTGATCTCTGTCTATTTGGTGTGGTGCTCTAACTCCAGTGTGTTCAATGCTACCTGTGGTCACATGCGTACAGCTATGGTTTACAATCACTGAAATTAATGTGCCCTTAAAGTTAGAGTAGAACTTGGGTCTTATGTTTCACTTGTTGTTGTGAGCCAGATCAGTCTCAACCAGGGGTGTAAAGCTAACCAGAAAACACTGCACACGCCAACAACGACAATTAAATATTACTCAAGTAGCTGTAGAAAAGCTTTCTCAATAGGTTGCCTGGATGGAGAACAGGTTTAAGACTCAAAAAGAGGATTATTAAAATGATGATTACACCATTAAAGTATTCATTTTATTTTTAAAGTAATTTTTTGTTTTGGACCAAAACCGTTGGTTTGCTTACAAGCTTGTTTTGTAACTGCATTGCACAGTCTACTCTAGGCAGTATAATTTTTTTTTTTTTTAATCACTTAATTAAAAAAATTATGTTTGCATCTTTTTTTCAGGATGTTTTGACCATGCAAAAGTATTGTTATTTTCTAACAATTAATTATACATGTGGACAGATGTTCTTAATGCAAAACGATGTAACATTCCAGTAACTCAGTCCATTATGCTTCAACGTCTATTTAAAGTTATCCAACTGTAGCCACTATAAACTAGTGGTCATACCAGACCAAGTTATCTTTGGAAAAACCCCTGAGTGTAATGAACTGCTGAAGTTTGCATTTTATTCCTTAATAATCCAGCTTTCGTTTGTAAAAGAAGAACGTCTTATTTCCTCTTTAAAGATTTGCAGTCTTGAAAGTTCCTGCAAGTCATTTTAATGATAAACTTCCTGAAATAATGACGTACTATATCAAAAATACCTTCTTTGAGATACCAAGTAATTATTTTGAGGATGTCAATCATCATAATGACTTGCAAGATATATTTTTTTTAAATAAAAAAATATTGAAGTTCATTGGTGCCTGCTCTCACTGGCAGCAATGGGCTTCCATATATTGTGTATTTGTTCCAACCAATTATTAATCCAAAGGATTACTAAATAAGAAAAATCCTTCTCTAGGCTATATAAAAAAAAAACACATTTTAAGATTACAAAATATATATTTTAAAGTACATTTGTCAAAAGCTAAAATACAAATGTTTTCAGTTACTTTCCACCCCTGGTTTCAACCCTGACATTTGATATCCTGTAACTTCTAGCCTGCCACTGCCTCTGTGGTTGAAAACTATTCCTGCCTTAGGTTTAATAAAGTATAATTCATACTTCAAATATCTCATTGTCGTGTGTGTACTTGTGTGATGAACAAACAGCGGTATTAGCACGCCCATGTATAAAGTCCCACCTGTTGGAGGAGCAGGAAAGCGATAGGGGCTGACGGCGCTCCCCCACCACACCAACCTCACAAGAGTTCCGGGTTCTTTCGGCCGAAAGCTGCTCGCTGCTACCGCTTTCACACGGCAAGACCATGGCTCTTCTACTGGATAACCAATTCAAAGACCTGCCTCCTGACAAGGCGATAGACACAAAGTTGTTTTTGGAGGCTGTGTCTCATATTCCTTCATTTTTTGGTGAGTATACCCCCACTTGAACTCGATAAAACTTTAGTGTTGGAGGCGACTGTTGATGTTATCGCATTCACGGTTCATAGAAGGCTGACTTGTTCCCCATGACACGTTCAAGTGACCCGTCAAATCGTAGTTATTTTACACATACCAGAAGTGGAGCTGCTGCTGGGTCACGGTGAGGGGTCGGACCCAGCTGTTTAACCTAGAGAAACTCTTTGTTTACACACTGAGCAGAGCAAACATTGGCCTCATTGTGCCTTTTTAACTAGAGACTATGCATTCACTGTATTTTCCTCCCTCTGTGTGTATTCACGTCAAGGCTGATCTGTATTCATCCTCCCCTCTGTGCCAGGGACTTGTGTGATGAAGTCATTCATATTTTATTGCTTTGCTCTCAAATGTCTGTTTCTCTTTCAGACTGCTTGGGATCAAATGTATTTTCAGTCATCAAATCAGACATTAATGGCAACATAACGGTAAGATACAGATCTATTAGGACTCTGGTGTGTTTTCATAGCACTGTCACAAATATGTAACGTGCAAACTCAACCCCAATGTGCCTTTTTCAGAAAATTAGAGCAGTTTACATGAAGGATCCTGCAAAGTACGTCACCCTGCAGGACATTGTGGAGGCAGAGCGAGAAGCCCATGCAGCAGAGTGGCCTAAAGTTGGAGCAACACTAGCTTTGATGTGGCTGAAAAGGTTAACACTCCATAAGCTTAATGTTATGTCATACTGTATGTTGAATATTCAGCTGCTGAACTAAAACAAAGGTATGCTTTGTCTCTCCTGCAGGGGTCTCCGTTTCATACAGATCCTGCTGCAGAGTTTGGCAGATGGAGAAAGAGATGAGAACAACCCCAACCTAATTCGGGTTAATATCACCAGAGCATATGAACAGGCGCTGAAGAGATACCACGGCTGGATTGTACAAAAGATTTTCCATGTGAGGAAAATTTCTCTTTATGTTTTTCTTAATATTTTATGGAAATATTTTTGAAAGTGGACAAAATCGGACCACACCATAGATTATCCTGCTTTGTTGCTTTTCTGAGTTGCATTAAATAATGTGTTTCTGCTATAATTTTCCATCTTATTCTTTGCTATAGTATTATTTTATTCTTGGTAATAATAACCCTGTATTTACCTCTACATTACTGTTAGCCTAAATGATATTTTTTCCCGTTGCAGGTAGCATTACATGCAGCTCCATACAAGTCAAACTTCCTCAAAGCTCTGTCAAAAGGAGAGGAAGTGAAAGAGGAGGACTGTCTTGCAAATGTGCGTCAGTTTCTGGTGAATTACACTGCCACTGTAGATGCCATCTACGAGATGTACACCAATCTGAAAGCCGAGCTGGACTACACTGTGTGACGTCCCGGGACATCTGTCCACCTCTCAGGGTTCAGACGAATCCAGTTTTTTAAAAGTTGTTTTTAATTGAATTACTTTTTCTTTCTGTCAGTGTGGTATTTATGATTACTTTGATTATTCCTTTTTAAAATTACCATGGTATATTTGGTCTTAAAATCATGAAAATGCCTTAAGATTTTAAAACATAACAAAGGGTTATTTGTTTGATTTAAATAATTTAAGGATTTTCTACAGCAGCTCGTACTGTGCAGAAGGATGTTATTGTGTGTTTTATTTATGACAAAAACAGGTGGAATATAATGTATTCCACAAAGAGATTGAACAAGTCTGTAAACACTGTTATTACACGTCACAATATATGTTAAAACCTTACATTTCAAATGTTTTCTACCTCCTGAAGCAGCCCTTGAAGTAGTTTAAAATTAAACAGCTTGTTTCAGCAGTGCATTATTCCACTTGTGCCTTGGTGTTACTGCAAGCATATCCAAAGCTAAGCAAAAAAGATGTTTGCAATTCCATTTTACCTTCAAAGCTACATTTAGCAGAGCCAGAACAATTGTATCAGAGGGCTTAACCGGAGTGTGTTTGTGTTCAATAGAAGGTGTGTTAGACCTTTTTGTTTGTATTGTATCTATGGTTCTATGGCCTATTTTATTCCTCCTTGTCAGATCTGATGTGACTTCTTTTATCAGCATTAAAATGTCAAACCAAATTATTCATGTTAGCGGACAGCACATCACTTCATACATTTATTAATAACTTATATCTGCATTTTCTCTATGCACAGGCTGGTAATGAAGTATGATCAAACGTGTTTAATCATAAGATTTTAAAGTATGACTTAAAATAAAAATATAATTGTAACTACCAAGTGTCTTAATGAACATCACACTTAAAGTTCATGAATTGTTCTCTAGGTGGCGATATTTACTTACTTGACATCTGTGTTCCAGCTAATACAATATTTTAATTATGTTCCTGCGGGAAAAAAACTGATATGCAATTTAGATACAGTTCCAGTCATAGGCAGATCTTAAATTACTCTAAACAGCAGTTCTGATTTATGTTTGTAATTTTGCAAGAGTGGATTTGTGCATTTTCAAAAGCTCTTTTGGTTGACCACAAATTGATTTGCTCTCTGAAAGACATTTCTGAGGGTGATTGCAGATTTCTTTTTAAAAACCAAAATGATCTTGAACACTCAAACATCTGCTGTAAATTGGAGTAAAATCCTCTCTCTTCTTTGTGTCTCCTAATCCCCCACATCAAGCAGCCTTTTCCTCTGGCCAGTCTTACTTATCTGAAGTGTGTCCCAGAGGCCATGTGGCTCTGGTTCCTCTCCCAGAGGAGCCTGAGCTAATCGTCTCAGAGCGAGAGGAAGAGCAGCATGTCTGTAATCCTGAAGGTTTATCAGCACAGCGGCCTGGCCTGTCCCGGCTGACAGATAGGACGGAAAAGCTCCGAGCTAAGCTAGGACACAATAGGCTAAAGACAGGAAATCATTTACGACAATGCCTCAATGACAAAGCCACTGACCTTTAACTCTGAAATAGGTTATCTGCAATGAGGTCATCAATTGAATATTGCAGATTCATTCCAAACAGTGCACCTAATGCCATTATTCACAACATCCAGCATATTTGTTTTATAATGGTCTACTTAGAATGTTTTTTTTTTTCTATGGTGACCCAAAACAAATTACTGCTATAGAATCCAATTTAGGAAGACAAATGAAGCAAAATAAGAGCAGGCCCACCGCTATCTACGATTAGCAATTTAATAGCTGGGTAACAGCAAGCCCATTTCTACATAATGTGGAATCCATCTTCGAGATATCATGTGTTTTTCATACATAAATGTAATTTTAGAGGTGGCCTGTACATTTTCATTTCCACATATGTATTTTGAAGTATTCAATGTCTTCTGCCTCAAGCGATGTCCATCCATCTCGACTAACGTAATTCACTATAACAAAATTAGCTATTTAAACTCGTATATAGAGGAACCAGTCCAATATCTTTCAGCCAAGGATTGATTTACATCCCATTAAAACCTGAGATCCTGCAGTGAAAGGAGACATTAATAAAAATGAGATGTATGATTGAAGAATAAAAACTAGCCAGGTGGTTGAGCTTTAAATCTCTTTGCAATAAAACCAGAAATATGACTCATCTTTACACAATTAGATTATTGTTCATGAATATAATAATAACATTATAATTCTCAGCGACATGTCAAATAATGAGTAATAATATGCAATAACAAAAACTATATGTTGGGTTTAGAAAATGTCATTTACTTGACAATCCTTATTGAGAAGAGGCAAAAAAGGGTTGAGGGATTAGGGTCATACATTGCAAAATGTAGTTATTCCAACAACATACTTCATGGAGAGCGCTCACATTTTCATATATAATAATTGCACTTTATAATTATAGACAGTTTGCCTTATAACTCAACAGGCTGACATAAATAAATATTATTACAGAACCAGTGCAGACACAGAAAGAACTACTCAGTCATACATCTTACACCATCAGAGATAATGTAGCCCTAGATATAAGGTGGCCTGCTCTCTAACATGGCACTCATATACACCCAGGTGTTGTGTAACACTGTCACAACCCTTTTCATTCAAGAAACAATCTCTTAAAATCAAAAAAGAAAAACAACCAAAGGGCACATCTTGCCTGGCCTGAATCGCCACAGTGTTGATTTGGATATGCAACAGTCGTAATACATTGTGCTGAGCATGAATACATGAAATCAATAAATGTTAAGTTACGTAACATTCTCTATGGCTGCGTAACTAAATAATATATTCACATTTGTATACAAATTATCAAAAATGTTTCCCCATACAGCAGCCAGTCAATTTGCATCATACTGCAGAAGCCTGGTGGGTTTTGAGTAACAACAAAGCAGCAGACAACCAAATGTTCATTTAATATTTAGGAATGTTCTAATAAGAAGCCATTTTAAGGAAAACCTATATTCACCAAACCATCCTTTCCAGACTCAAGTACATGTTTTCAGAGGGGTACCAATGATTATTTCAGTTCAGTACATTTCTATTTTTTGTAAAAGCCTACAGGGGAATCCAAACATCTGCAAAATACATACATGTTCAAATGAAATGGGGAAATTCTGATTAGGTGCTCAGCATCAATATTTAATGAGGAACAGCAGGCATATATGATGGCCATTTCAGATATAAAAAATAGAACATCCATAAGATAAACCTGTATCTTAAGTCTTGATTATCAGTTACTGTTTCAGGCTCATAACACAAAGCCTTCTACAAATACAGTACATGCACAAACTACAAACCCATGTCTCATTCTCACAGACGTCTAAACTTCCATCCTCTATAAAAGGTTTTGTCACTTCTGCGTCCCGTTGTTTGGCAGCCCCCACCAGCTCTTATCTGTAGACGGGCAGCTGGATGTGTGTTTGTTGGTGGTGCTCCAGTAGCGGAGGCATCCCCATGGCTTGGTAACCACGTCCCAGCATGCTCTCTTTGATGCAGGGAGGGTGGATCTCACTGATGAGGCACTCCAGAGACTGCAGGCTGCTGCTGAGTACCGCAGCGTGGCACAGGCTGGAACTAGGCAGCCCACAACAGAGGTTTTGGTCTGTGCTGTAGGCCTGGATATGAGGAGGGTGGAGCTGAGGATGATGTCTCTGCGGTTGGTGGTGTGGATGGCGGTTTGGGTGGGGGTGGAGATGGGGGTGTGAGAGCCCCAGGTCTATAGGCTTGCTCGCCAGCACCTGAGAAGGATAACAGTCGCTATTAGGGGTGCAGTCCCAGAGTGGAGCGTAGTACTGTCCCATAGAGAACTCCCCCTGCATGCAGCTCAGAGAAGAGCTGCTGACCCGCTCCACACTGGCAGGATGGGGTCTGTACGCCATCTGGGGGGGCAAAGGGTGGCAGGTTTCAGGGGACTCGTCCTCTCTGTGCCTCTGAGCGCCGTTACTCACACTGTACATCCTCATGGCTCCCTGCTGATAGGGCGGCTGGATTTGAGGTTTATGCTGCCACACGGAGTACTCTCCCTTCTCCAAGTATCCCGCTTTGGCTCTGTCTGCACTCTGTGTCGGGAGCACCGCCCCTGTGAAGGCGAGACTGCTCTGGGGGGGCAATCCCAGCACAAAATCGGAGTCTGAGTGTGCCACCGCGGCCACAGCCTGCAGATAGGGGCTGGCTCGAGCCTCCCCCCCCAGCTGCAGGGCCTGGCTGTGGGGGACTCGGCTCATCTGCCTCATCAAGCTTTGAACCTCTGCCAGCTCAGACTGGGGGGCCAGGCTCTGATCTCCGGAAGCCATGCCTGAGCTGGAACACAGTGTCTCAATGGGAACATCATGGGGCTTACATGAGCTTATATGATAGGCCTTATGCCCGTGTCTGACTGTGTAGCCATTATTCAGAGGATTATTGTACGGTGCCACAGGATTCTGGCTGTTTACATGTTTAGTCCTCCTGCCCTCTGAGTTTTTTAGCACACCTTTTGCTGACACGGAGGCTTTGATGATGGCCAACAGCCCCTGGTGGCCTCCTGTGTACAGGTGGGAGTAGTCACTGCGTGTGCCTGTCGTGTCTAACCCGTTGACGGTTTTGTTTATCTGTTTATGCTGTGGCACCCGGACCTCAGATGGAAAGATTTTGATGGACAGAGGGTTGTTGGCGGTCTTCTGGGCAAAAGCATCCAACTGTGCAGGAGAAGGGTACCGAGAAATCATGGAGGCTGGCTCGCCTGGGAAAAAAGAAGACGGAAACTAATGATTAGTATATTTTCAGTTAAATTTGAAACTTGTTTTGGGGGGGAAATGCAGACATCACCATGTCCTATAAACACATTTTAAGGAGGGAAACACCTCCAGCCCTGTTTGATCAGTGCCTAATGAAATTATTTCAGACTTAGTTCAACCCAAAATTAGGTTACCCTGGGAAATCAAAAGGCAGGAATTGGGAGAAGGAGGAGGGAGGACCTCATTTAACTGAAATGGCTCCAATGAGATTTATTTGATGACATTTAGCCGTTAAGCCACAGCAGGATTTGAGCAACACCGGTTCCTGCCTATGAAAATTTGGTTCCACTTTATGCTTTTATGAACCTGAACCGATTCTACTGTGAAAGCTTGGAGCCTAAACTGTGAGGGAAAAGTTGATGCAAATGGAAAAGAGCAATCACAAAGAGAACCGCTGATTGAATTGTGTGCCGGAAAGCTGACGGGACAAACTAAGATTGGATTTAAACACTATTATTCTGGCAATTTCATGCCTGCTTAACTCCCGGCGACAAAGGAAAGGTGGAAAAGGCGCCCCATTTAAAAACAATAAATCACCTGGTAGAAATTACCGCCACCTTTCAGAGTGACACTTTTATGGAACTCCTGACATAAAGAGAAAAGGCGGTGAAATTAACCTATACAGCAGAAATCATAGCAGGCAAAAGAACAAGGCTGTAATCGGCAATAAAAGGGGCGCAAAATAAAAACAAAACACTTCATTTCATTTTCAATAACAAAACCAATTCCAGCTATGCAGGGGAGAGATCACTTGTTGTTCCCATTTGAAATTGATTTGGGAGTTCATTTCATTTCTGGCCTACAGTGAGCCTCCCGACTGTGAAAATGAATCAATCTACAAGATCCATCTCATGAAAGAAAGAAATTGGGTGTATAAAATGGAGGAAAAAGGGTAAGGCGGAGTGTTCAATCCATCCAGCAATCTCCCAGCGGAACTGAAGGAACAGCACCATGGTGCCAGAAGCATGAGTGAATTCTACAGAGAAATATAACAAAGCAAAACACTGCTTATTATGTAGCGAGATGTAGTGCTGCAATAGAAAAGCAAAGCTTATGGGATGTTGGAGAGGTGTTCAAACTGTATACAAAATCAAGATTTGAAAGAGGTGACAAGGGGGAAAAAAGCCAGCTGCAATCATGATATCTGCCCTACGGCTAAAAGCTGAATATTTATTACCAGAAAGGACATGTAGAGCTTCATAACCACCAGCTTAGATGATGAGAAGGATCATAAATCTGACAAACACCAGCATTGGCACCACTGCACAAATCTTGTCTATGTTCTGCCTGGGATAATATAACTCAATTTAAAAGATAAATGATATAGCAAAACAAGCATTTCAGCCGTTTGTTGTTCAGTAAAATGTCGTTGTGGAGCTCTGCATGCTGCGATTGGCTTGCTGTTCCACAAACACTTCAAACGCTTTGAATGCTAACACGTCTTCACAGGGTGTCTGATATTGTTAGTCCGGAGATTACAGCCCTGTCAGAGCCATGGAGACACAACACAGCTGCACTTCCCACTGTGGCTGCCTCAACGCGGGCACTATGGAAACCTCATTAGCAAATAGGCCATCCCCACTCTGCATTCACATATTTATCATCTGTGGACTGCTACTGTGAGACATATGCATAGAAAGGGGATCATTTTAGCCGATCCTGACTGAAGCAAGTGGTGAAAAATTATGATCAGACACTACACGCTGTCCTATATTATAACCAGAGGTAATTGTTTCAATCTCGGGGACTTTAATACCAATCAGTGATGTTAAATGGCCGTAAACTGAACACAGCATATGTCCCAAAGCATGTGGTGGCTGTAAAACTTAACCTTGAAGTCATTCTTTACAGTCTTCCTTCCTGCAGAACACACCCAAGTTAAAAAGTGTCTAAAATGTGTGCTTCATTAATTACAATCTGGCAGTCATTCCCTTTTAGAAGTGCCAAGCAAGCCTACTGTGCGGCCTCACCCAAGCTCAACATGAGGGCACATGCATACTGGTGACAGTGATAATTGAAGAAGTGCATCAGGTTTAACCTCTATGGTTCTCTGCAGGTGTTCAAAGAGGTTATTTGCACTCTAAAAAGGGAGCATTTTAAAACATGCATCAGTCGCTTCCAGCTCATTTTGGCCTTTATCCTGAAAACAAGCAAACAAACAAGTACACTTTTTCAAATAAGGCCGAGCTTCTTAATTATTATCACGCTGCAATTATCTGTCAGCTCCTTGGCCCCCTTTGTATCCCAGGAATTTGGAACTGCAGCACAAAAATGTATGAGCCACTGAATTAGTAAATATTTTCACCTAGCAGATGAGAATGTTACAATTCCAACACGAGTTCCTTTAATCATAATGCCCTAAGGAGAGGAAATAATTCATGCCTATATTAAAGTAGGTTTGCATTTTTAGTAGATTATCATAAGCAAATAGGCCAGAAGAAATGGTTTTGCATACACTAAAGACACACCAAAAACAGGTCTTGTTTTATGAGTTAACAAAAACATCTGTTCCTCGTTTAGATTCTCAACTAGTATCTCTTTGTACAGGTTTGTTTTATTGACAGCCACTGTAGACAGAAATAAATAATGACGAGACATGGAAACAAATATGAGGCTGTTCACATGACAACAGGGAAATGGCAGCTATTGTCAGGTGAGGAACGTCAGGAAGATAATTAGCAGTCTGACCTTAAGCACTTAATCACCCTGAACCTGCAGACTGCACGCCGCTTCACTCTGACACAGACGGAAAAACAGCACAGGAAACAGAGCGCCAGCCACTTTTAGCGAACAACCGTGCCCCAGAGCATCCTGCAGTGCTTACAAATTCAAATTCTTTGACCCTTAACATTTTCCCCCAATTGCTTTTTTGATTGAAGTAGTTTACGCAGGATGGAAAAAGCTTGTTTATCTTTCTGTTTTCCTCAAAAATCTGCATAATGACACTGTTGCATCTGCAATCCTCGATGGATAGATTTAATGGTCCCCGCAGCCAGGCTTGAATGTTTTCTGGGTTGGAAGGGGGCTCCACGCATTAAACATGCTGCTCAACTGTTGTGGCACCACGCTGAGTAAAACTGGCACACTTTCATAGGAAACACCTAATCCCGATTTCCTCTTTCCAAGCAGGGGACGTGCACAGTTGGGGGTAGGAGGCCAATTATAAACTCTCAATCACCACCAGGCCTGATTTATTATGTGTGTGTGACTTAAAGGAAATAGATTATTGTAGTTTAAGCCTGAAAATATTAAGGAGGGAATACATTGAGTTCGAACCATTCAGTTATTTATACATGGTCTTTCATAACCCATATTCCACCCCCATACAATCCCACTCGATGCTTTGTGCCACTCTAAACTGGCTAATCTTTTTCCTGTGGTCACACTTGAAGCCATTTCCCCCCAGATTAGAGCGGAGACCTCATTGTTTCGGAGCAGTTTCAGTTAATCACTAATTTATGGGCAAAACAAGCCCCAGAGGCAGAACTGAAAACGGCACTTGGACAGGCTCATTGCGAAAACCACGGCTTCCAAATATGTTATACCCAGAGGGATAACATAAGAGAACCATTAGAATGACCACCGCCTTCCCACATGAGATAAAAACTGAACATGCATACATTATTCCTTGTTAATATCTGTGCATGTGAGCTGAACAACCAGAAATGAAATCCCACAGGTCTTTGATGTTGTGCTGAATACTTATCGTGCAACACTTGGTGCGATAACATGTTTACCAGTGTCTAATCCTCAGCAGGAACATGGCACTGAGAACTGCTGGTTAATTACAGAACAGTGTTTCTCAGCAGGCACAGATATTTGTTTACAGCACCAATAATCCTGATATTTAAAATACTCTCTGCCGCCTTAATAACCAGGGACTGAGCACAGCACTGTCCCAAATGCATGTATGACCTATGTCTCTATTACCATGGCAACCTCCTCTATGCACATGTCATTAGAGCCATGTAATTAATTGGCCCTGACTTAATTCATCTCTTTGAGGCGGGCCTCTGCAATTGACTATGTGCTGATTAGACGGAGTAATAACATTAAAAGAAGCAGCTGTTAGCTTTTCCCCTTAATTTAGGTCAACATTGAGAAATATATTTAGTCATTTATATCATATGTAAATTACTAAACATATACAGCTTGAATGGACATCCAACTCTGTATTAGTCAAATCATTCCAAAACACAACTGTGTGAGAAAATATCTGGCTCTTTAATGAAAATGTAGAATCTAAAAGACGTACAATTAAGGGTGAGAATTTAGAGCATTGTAAATCAAAAACAAGAATACATCTGTTAAGTCTCAGATTCTAGGTCATTTCAAATAAAATCAGAAACCATAGCTCCGTGCTTTGTTCCAAAATGCAACAATGAAGCACGTAAAACCAAAACAATGGGCTGAAAGGAGCGTAGGAAGCTCAGAGTTCAATGTTAATTCTCTTAGCTTCTCACTGAAACAAGTCAGTCATTTGACTCAAACGTATTGATTGATACTGGTCTGATAAGTGGTATCACTACAAAGATAAAGTGTCAGGAGTGTAGTCAGTGGACTTGTGCATTTACATGTATCTCTCATGGGGTTTAAAGAAGATTGCAGTTAATGCCTCCATGTGGTCTCCTCAACCCAGAGGACCATTAGCTGGAGATAAGTGAAGCAGAACAAGTAGACATGCTGACACCAGAACACAGACTCTTAAATCTCACTTATACTCTATTTACAACTTTTTCCGTAAACACACTAAATAAGAATACAGACGCTCATTCACCCCATTTTCACATGTATCCCTCCTTCCATGTCAGTGATCTCTGCATGAAGGGTGCTCACAGAGCGACGTAACCTCTGGGTTGAACACTTAGTTATGTGTGCTCAGAGAGGCTCAGGCGAATGCTCCTTTGCAACAGTGTCACTCCTCATTTGTTTCTGTGCCGCTTGGCCCAGCTTGGGCAAACTTTCCCCTCTCAGAGCCGACCCAAGCACAGGCCAGCAGCGTGGGAAAAAGCATTTCCAGCGCCTGTGCTTTCAAGCTGAGATAGCAGAGAACAGCTCTCATTCACTCTCATCACATAATTCCTAGTTTCCCAGAAATCACTCGCATGGGGCCGAGGGCTTTCATGTCCTGCGCCTTCCATTTATTGATAGCTAAAAATGGAAATGGCTTTGAAAGGCGCAGCAGCGACTAAAGACCGTCCCTATCTAACTCAATCCAACAGCGAGTCATTTAATGAAGAGGCCACACAGACTGAGCTCCCATCAGCAGTCTATTCCCTGCGGTTGTGTTTGAAATGTCAGGCTGGAGCTGGAGGGTGCTGCGCTACACACAGTCGCAGTACATAAAACTCAAAAGGGGGGGAAAGGCCCTGCAGGTAAACAGGATGAGAAACGTACCCCTGGTTCTGCCTGAGGCTAGCTAGGCCCTTCTGTTCCAGCGTTTAGCAGACAAGTGCGCCATTGATTCCCAATTAATATTTGATAGCAAAAAAGACAGAGGCATTTCACCTAAGGAGATGGGAGAGGAGGAGATGGAGTGTAACTGGGAGAGATTTTCATATGGATACGCATTGCTTGGCTAGTTCATAAAGGAGAAATGCATATCAAATACATCTATGCTTTTTGTTAATTAACTACACAGTCTGTCACCATGACAACACAGGTGTTTCCACTTATTTTTGGCTGATTAGACCTCGTCTCTGGGCTGAGTGGGTATTTTTACATCTCTGCTTGTTGCACCTGTTAGATCAAGAACACTTTTTATGGTGCTTTTAAATATATGCCGTTTTCAGTACCTCAAGCCCCAAGCATGAATCCGCCGGAGAACAGGTCTAATTATCCAGACTAATGGAAAACACCTGTGTGTGTGTGCAGGTGTCGATGAAATCTGATCACTACAGGGTCACCTGAGAATAATGTTGTGTCTTTTATACTTCACAAATGATGTTCACTATGTAAAACACATTCAAGGAAGATTAGATTTTATTATACATGAAAAGAGATAGCTTTGATGAAATAACGCAGGCTCATGCAAATGAACAGAACATTCACTAGCAACATGATGAGATGGAAAATATAATCCTGACCACTGCCCTGCTCAGCAGACAAATGTGCATGTGTGTCACCTTCGCTAAGCTAACATTGATAATCAAATGATGGTGACGCCGTTGGAGATTGTACATAATGTTACCGGTCAATATTTGCATTGTCGTGCTTTCTGTCAGACTATGTTGTGAGCCATCCTGTTTCATTTCATTTATAGTGATCGCTCAGAAATGAACTCCTTCCATGGATCTAAACAAATCAAATTATATATATATTGCAGCATAGGCTTAAAGCAATAACAGCACAATAGCTATAACAAGGATCTTTAAAGGACCATATAATTCAGGAGGTTTCATAATGCTACAATACACACCCAGTTGAACCATTAAATGGTAGGTAGTTATAGATCTTCAAAATAGCTTCAAACCAGAGCCAGCATCATAGTATAAAGACATCAGCCAATTTCAAAGCAATTGGGAAAAGCAACCAACAGCAGACTACTATTTCTGCTACTATGATCTCATTATGTGATCCTAGATGGTCCGGGAACATCTCTGCACGAAATAATATAGATGTAGAGTAACTAACATGAATAAGGCCGCTTCTGACCATGAAGGAAATCTGCAATAAGTCACATTCCATCAATTAACCAAAATAACTCTAATCACAAATGTCACTCCATGTTAGGTTGAGACACCCACTCAACCTTTGAGAGACTGCAGTATAATCAGTCATGATGAAGGTCAAACAACACAGACACGGAGCACTTTCTGCACCAAATGTGAACGTCATTAGTTACCCTGTATGTCACTTGATTAAGTCAGTAATTTTAGAGTCCACTTTGACCCGCATGCATATGCACTGCAGGAGCGCTCTGATTAGTTGCCCAATTAAGAGGCATCACCATCATCAGTAGGCCCATTATTTTAAATTCCAGAATAGCTGCTGAAATGTTGGCGCACCGCTAAAACCATGCATGAGCTTCATGTGGAAAGGTCAAGGTGAACATGATTGATTAAAAAGTAACTCAGGAGCATGACCGAGGCAGACAGTTGGTGGTATCTGTCCTCGCTGGCTCAATGTCTTCACATGATATAAGCTCACCTTTGTGGCTGCACGGCTGCAGTTGGGGAACTGACAGCAGTAATGGCGGGGGTGGAACATCAAGGCTTTTGGGTGCGCAGGCCAGACTCTGCGACGAGAGATTCTGCCGTCTCTGGATACAGGCCAGCATGATAGTTCTCTAGGACTGCACACAGCCTGGGTAAACCTGCTGAAGGAAAGGGAAGCACACGTTTTAACTCGATAGCCAATACACTTAATACAATGGTGATTAAAAAAGACAAATTTACAGTGCTTTAAGCTACATGCTGACATGCTCACAATAGTACTGTGTTCAGAGCTTATAGGTTAACCACGTTCAAAATGAAATAGTTAGCACATTAGACATGTGTGTGGCTAAGGCTGATGGGAATCATATTGCCTTGAGACATTTGACAAAATGGAAATGTCAACTTTGTGGATGAACTACAGGAAAAGTCAGAGTATAAACAGGATCAGTAGGCTTCATCCTCTACCAACACGTATGTCAGTGCCAAATGAAATGGCAATCTATCCAAAAGTAAATCATATGTAACACATTCAAAATATTGCATTTAACATCAGTCTGACATTAGAAGAAAACTGCACACTTGCTTGTGAACACTAAAACCCCTGAAGTAGGCTTTCCTCTTTAAGAAATAAAATGATTCTGCACCACCACTTTTTTATTTTTTTTACCATTTTAAAATTCAGAAGTTCTTTGAACTGCTGGGATTGTACATTGAAGACAATAATATGACTCAATGACTCCATCGAGGCCAGGGTTTATTCTTCATACATTTATGGCCGTATTGATCAGCAGAGAAAGCCAAAAGCAGATCCCTCCAAAGAATAAGGCTAGGTCTTAGCAGAGTTAAGTCATATCAGAAGAAATGAAAGACTGTGTCTGAAAGAGACGGCGTCTTAATACAGATTTCCTGATTGAAGCAATCATTCAGAAGATAAAGCCCGGCATTGAGGGAATATTTCAGCGATAAAACCATTTGACATTCTCTTTGATTATCTCAGTCACCAAGTCTGAATGCAAGCTCTGAAAAATCCAAACTCCCCTGGCTACTGTTATGTATGTATATCAGGTACCTTATAGACAGACAACTGCAATCTAAGCAACTAAAAAACGACCGACTTGTAGGGTATAAATATTTAATAAGTTCAATGATTACCGATGGAAAGAAACAGCATTTCAATCACAATGCATTAGTCCCTCACAATGTTAATATAAGCCTGCAGCATGCGGCTGTCAGATTGCTTCTTTTTCTTGCTCAGTTTTTAAGGTTCTTTTGGATTTTTGCTTTCATTTCTCCCTCAGGGTCCAGAGGGCAGCTAAAGCGAGTCAACCACAGAACGAGTGTTCAGTGACGAGCTGCAGAAACATGATTACCCTCGCCTCAAAAGGAAGAAGAGACGGAGTGGCTTTCATTTCACTCAGGTGCTCAAAAAAAGATTCCCTCACTCTTCCCTCTCATGTACCCGCTCCCCTCCTCCGCTCAACATCTGTCCCTCGGTGACAAGCCCACTTCAAACCGCTCAGTGCAACCTGTCTCATCTGAGCACACACATCTGAAGAGCTAAAAGCCTCAGCATGGTCAGATTCCATTTAGAAAATAATGGCAATTTCACAACAACCCTTCCATTACCACACAATTGTCAAGAGGGAGGGGCCGAACACGCAGAAGAAACACAGGGCAGAAAAAAGGTTTCTCCAGGGAAATCCCTTCACCAGCAGAAAATGAGACGTGAATTGGAACACCTTCCATTACTCCCATAATGTGCAGCTGGAATCAAATACATCAAGGTGGGCATTATAATTCAAGGGAAGCCGGCAGTGGCTTAAAGAAAAAAAACTTCCACTGAAAGCAGAAAAGGGAGCTAGAAATTATGCATAAAGTGCAAGTAATGACGGTTTCTTTCATCCTGCTATCTACATTTTAAATTTAAAGGATTTTATGAAAAACTTAAGCTTGAAATTGCCTTTCGACTCCTGAGCAGAATTACCCGGAAAAAAAGGGAAGAGCGATAGGAGATCAAAGTGGTCCCAGAATGCATGATATTATCTGGGTTAAGTTATAAAGCAGTGTCAGTTCTCCAGCCGTTCATTTAATGTTCTGCTCAACAGAAAAGTTTTATGTCTTGCACTTTCTTACAATGTCATATCAGGATACGTCACAATAATGAATGGCTGCAATAATGAAGAAATTAGGTACATGGCAACTGCAAAGTCAGCTATCTTTAAAATGGCAGAATAGTTAAACTCAACCTTCACAAATGAGGTCAATAATCTTTTTTATTAACATAATAGTCAGTGTTACTTTCTCCAAGCCAGTTTTCTACAATTAGCTATCCATTTAGCGTTTAACCTGCCTTTGTGCAAGACATCACTTCTCATATGTCCTTTGTAAGTATTCAATTGTCTTACAAGAGCACATATTCAAGGACTTTTTTAACAGGCATAAGAAGAAAAAGAGCACAAAAGTTGAAGGTTGTGACGAAAAATCTTCCCCACTCTCTGCGACATCCCTGCAGCTGATAAGCAGCACGATGATGTCCACTGAGGCCCTGCCAAGGAGATAAACCTTGTGCTTTTCAGTCTATCTAACTGTCCCCTAAGGATGCCATGGCAGACAAATGTGTTTTTCAAGCCTCTTCCCCGGTCAATGACGGGATGCAAAATGCCAGATTTATATTTTTCCCAAATGTGTCGTCAGTCTTAGGATCAGGAGAGGAAACGCTGTGAGAGAGGAGATCAACTGAAGAGCCGTGAGGGCAGTGATGGAGGGACTTTATAATGGCTGCTTCGGTTTAACAGGCAGAGAGCTCATGCCTTAAATGTTAACTGATGATATCTGTCAGCTAATTATCTTGAGAACTCTATTGATGAATTATCATAGGAGTACCATTCATATTGAGGCTTTAATAGGAAGAACTCCAGGAAGAAATTGTAGGCTATGTGGATCAAGTTTCTTGATATGATAAAGCTATGCATGCAGAAAATGTAAAAACAAAACAAAATGTGCCTTGCCTTACTTTTTACCAGTTTCACAATACAAAGAAGCAGCATTCAAATAGCCATTGAAAGCAAGAAAAGAATCGCCCAGGAACATCTGTCTGACCTTCTTGAGCCTTTCATGGGTTAGCACAGCATCGAGGGTCAGAGTGAAGATAGACGCAAATTGCAAACAGGGAGGCTCCCTCTAAACAAACACGAATCACGCAGAATAATGACACACACACACACACACACACACACACACACACACACACACACACACACACGTACACTACACACACACACACACACACGACACACACACACACGACACACACACTACACACACTACGACACACACACTACACACACACACACACACACGACACACACACACACACACACACACACACACACACACACACACACACACACACACACACACACACACACACACACACACACACACACACACACACACACACCCCTCCCTACCTACCTACCAGCTCAGCTCCTGTTAGCAGTTCTCAGAATCCTCAGTTAATAATTAGATGATAATGAAAAAGGTCCAAGACAAGCACCCTTTTCACTCTCTGGGTGGATTAGCATGTGAGTGCTATGCTAATGGTTTTCCCCTTCCTTCCACTCAGAAATTGCAGAAAAGGGAAATAGCACAAAGACGGTTAATTTAAGAGGGAATAAATGATTAACAAAGAGCAATTGGTCATTAAATAAGATAAAAAGCATTGTGTCTCTTTGAATGAGCATGAAACGGCCCATAAAAAACAATCCATTCGCTGTATAATTAATATTACCCAGGGCTTTTATGCTGTCTTTCAGGTATGGCACTATGAGCCTGTCTAAGTAATGAAGACCAGACAAGTATTCTGACATACAGACAGAATTAGACAGCAGTGCTGCAGCAGCTGCCGGATTCATCTCTATACACCCCTCCACACACACACACACACACATGCACACACTGATCCCCCCCCAAACCCCTCATACATTTTTAATAGAATCTATTACTTCTGGATTAGCCGATAAGAGCTGGCCTGGTTAAATTCTATAATAGTTTGCATAATTGGTATCAGAGCAGCATATAAGAGGGACCCAGATTTTTCTCTTCCCCTTCTCTGGAGAAAAGGAGAAAAAAAAAGGACACAAAGGTTCACATCCAGTATAACCAAACAACCCGGAGCCACTCTGCTCTACGCTCCAAGAACACTCGAGGCCTGCGGCTGATAACAATGAGCTTCATTTCCATTGAGATTAGCTAAATTACAACAGTGTTAAAAAGCATTTCCTATACAATCCACGCACAAGCACAAAATGTATGCAAATACAATCGTCAGGCAATATTCAGACAGATGTCCAGAGCATTCTGTTGGGCGTAAATCATACATTTATATGGCTGGGTGTCTGGGAAAAACCACATTAACATAACAGTTTCTCCCATGAAAAATAATCATATATCCATCACAAGACAGTTGTGGTATAATGAAGCTAAAAAGCATTTTAGTATGAAAATGCTGAACAAACAGACTAACAAACACAGACAATCTTTAAAAGTCCTTCACCTTCTGACACACATTCCCCCCCCCCCCCCC